ATTTACGTTTTAGACTTTTTAATTTGATTTACTAATCATTCCAACGATGAAATGTAGGCTAAATACACATACATTAAAGGTAGTCATCTGCAGTTTTAGTTATTATACCTACATAAAGAGACAAAAATAAAAGATATAACTGTACATGTAGGAATGAGACAAGTCCGGGAGAGAGCAAATGAGGACAGGAATGGACACGCAGCATAATGGCAGCTGTTCCTACTGCCAGCTGAACCTACTTTTCAGCAGGTTGTTCCTGCTGAACAACTGAGATACCTCGACCATGGTTAATTCTTCTCGCTGTATATACAACGAATAAACTTTGGCTCTGGCCCATGTCCAAATTCAAAATATACTTGCTGGTTGGTTAGTAAATTATTGTGATTGTGTTGATAACCATACAAAGGTTATCTTGAGGTTATCTTGAGATGATTTCGGGGCTTTTTTTTAGTGTCCCCGCGACCCGGTCCTCGACCAGGCCTACACCCCCAGGAAGCAGCCCGTGACAGCTGACTAACACCCAGGTACCTATTTTACTGCTAGGTAACAGGGGCATAGGGTGAAAGAAACTCTGCCCATTGTTTCTCGCCGGCGCCTGGGATCGAACCCAGGACCACAGGATCACAAGACCAGCGTGCTGTCCGCTCGGCCGACCGGCTCCCTTTCAAAAGATTCAAAGGTATTCAGCTTAACACCAACCACGCTTGCATAATAATTAATGTTTTCAGGATGAAAATCCGTCTGTGTTTTTTTAAAAGCTCTGCATTGCATTAGTTTACACTTTAAAGCATCTAAAAGCGATTTACTCGTTGTCTATGACACTGAAGGAGTGTAAAGGGAGAAACAGTCCTTCGTTTGATTTGCTTCTACTTCCACTAAGATTCATAGCATTAGATGATCTTGCATTACAAACTGTATATCATCTTGCTTGATGGTATGCAATTTCTTCAGTATTTTAAATATCAGAATTATATCTTCTCAAAGTCGATGGGTCTTCAGAGGGAACAAGTTTAAGTCTTTCTTCGTAAGTTTTATTTATTTACGAGGGAATTAGTTTACTCATTCCACTTTGTACATCAGTTTGTTTTCATTTTCTGAAGAACATTGCACTCGAGGTGGGAGCCTTGACTAATGTGTTCGTGCCTCACGTAACTAACTCTCGCAATGATTAATAGAAAAAATACAAAGTTTTAATGTTACGTCCTTTCAAGTTCAAAGAGCTCTAATCTTGTTGTCTGTCATTGTTATCAAATGAATTGCGGATTGTTAGCACCAAACTTTGTTCTGGAACACTTAAATGTCACTATGACATTTGGGACGCCAGCTTCCTGACATTTTATGTAATCTCATTGTAAAAGATGAACTCTGCCTGTCTCCGGCATCAGCTTTTACAACTGCCGTCCTCTATAATTCAGCAGCACGAGCCAATAGTCGGACAGAATGGTGCATTGGCGAGGTGATCCACTTCCAGCAGGCGACGCAAGCGGGGTGATTCACTTCCAGCAGGTGAATTAAAGCGGGGTGATTCACTTCCAGTAAGATAACAACCCATGTCCATTCCCAAATTCCCGATTTCCATTCTTACTTAGAGTCAAAATCCAAAAATAAAAACGCGTTGTTGAACTTTACCCTACAAGAGACTGCGTCGCCTGTCACCACACAAGACTATCACTGACCATCTATACCTCAGTTACACCAAACTTCAATCCAAATGATGACTAGACCACACACTAGAATGTTAAGGGACGACGACGTTTCGGTCCGTCCGGGACCATTCTCAAGTCGATTGTGATGAGGAAGATTGATAAAGATTAAGCCACCCAAAAGGTGGCACGGGCATGAATAGCCCGTAAGTGGTGGCCCTTTTGAGCCATTACCAGTATCAATAGATGATACTGGAGATCTGTGGAGGTGCGACTGCACCCTGCGTGACGGGAGATGCCTCCCGTACTGATGAGGAAGTAGAGACAGGCAATAAATAGGCACGAGAGAAATGAGGAGCGAAGTAAGGTGTAGTAGAGGGGATAGTAGTAGGAATTGCAGAGGGCCTATTGGCCCATACGAGGCACTTCCTATTATAACCTCCGAAAGATAAGGAAAAAAAAATTAATAATGAGAAGAGGAAATCGAGGGAACGTAAGAGAAGACAATGAACAGAAAAAAGAGAGAAAAGAGAAAGAAAGGAAAGAGAAAGAAAGGTAAATGGAAAGGGTAAGCTTATGTAAGGTCACGTTTGTTAGAAAGATTAGAGCATTTGAGTATATACTGTGAAAGGGAAGAGTCCACAGCAACAAAGCCAGGACTCAGGTTCATGTTGGGTACATTGTGTATTAGAGCCGATTCAACAAGACGGCGTCTGTGTAGAGTAGAGGCAGGAAAGATTATTTTGGAGGAAGACCAATCAATGGGATGATTAGAATCCCTCACATGGCAGAAGAGAGCATTGTTAGTTCAATCCAAAGTAGACCAGCCAATATACTGTTCCTCCCTCTCGCTCCCCATCCTCATCCTATATTTCCGGTTATATATATTCAAATCCTCGTCCTTCTTCCTCTCCCATCCTTACCAAGCCCTTGGGTAATGAAAGCGAAATAGGCAATACCCTAACTAGGTAACAGGCACTTTCATAGTTATCATGAGGGTGATCCTTGATATTCAAATTACTCGCACCAACTAATAACTGTGTATGCAAGAAAAAAATATATATTTGTAGCCCTGAACGGGTTCTTTCCAGTGATGAAATTAAAAACATATCCGTTAGAACAAATCCACAAGGGCTGTGATAAGGGTTTGAACCTACGTCCGGGATGATCCCAGACGCGCCTTAGTCGATTGCGCCACGACATAGTCAAAGGAATTGCAACCGGGAGTGCTACTGCCCTTACACGGATCCTGCAGCATCTCCGAGACACAAACCGGGATTTGCGGCCCTTCTGGATTTGTTCATTTGATGTATCACGCTATTGTGATTTTTGTGTGTATATCCGTTAGAATTCACAACAGTGTGCTAAAACATGTTTGATAAATATATATACGCCAAGTATGATATTAAGATGCTCAAAACAAAGGAGCATCTATAACTATGTAAGTAATGAGCGTTCAGCACGCATGAGATATCACGTTTCTTCGCTTTGGCAGAAATCAGATTTATGGTGCACAGCCCAAGTGGCTTCGCCAACTCCGTCGCTAGGCGCTGGCTGCCTCGTAATGCACATTGCGAGCCAGTAAGCGATTTAGGATGTTGGCAAATTTCCTCTTTCTTTTTGCTTCGTAAATATATCATAGCGACGAGTCAGATTGAGACGAATGACACTTTTTCTTTCTTGTTTGCACAAACTGTCGGTCTTCTCCGGGGAGGTTATCTTGAGATGATTTCGGGGCTTTAGTGTCCCCGCGGCCCGGTCCTCGACCAGGCCTCCACCTCCAGGAAGCAGCCCGTGACAGCTGACTAACACCCAGGTACCTATTTTACTGCTAGGTAACAGGGGCATAGGGTGAAAGAAACTCTGCCCATTGTTTCTCGCCGGCGCCTGGGATCGAACCCAGGACCACAGGATCACAAGTCCAGCGTGCTGTCCGCTCGGCCGACCGGCTCCCGGCAATCTCCTCTCGCCCCCAAACACACCACCTCAAAGCTATTACTGGAATCAAGGAACACGATTCTCGAATTAGCAGTTATCGCAAATCACTGATCACTTCGTCAGTATTGAAATATATGAAAGATCTTTCCCAAGCACAGCGATATATACACCGAGGTATATATATATATATATATAAATATTCTGAGAGTTTACTTAAGTCCTGGACTAAGTTCCAGATATAACTATTCTTGCTGGTTAGTCAATAACCTATTGTGGTGGCTTAATAACCCTCCGGAGGTTGATAGACAATAAGCCCAACACCAGACCAAAAATAATTTGAATAAATGTTCTCGGAACGTCAAAAATTTATCATTCGGAGTTTTAAAGGTTAACTGTATGTCAGAATCTTAACGAATTCACCCCAGAACATATTTAACTTACTTTTACACAATTGTCTGACCATGGAGAGACTAAAAATATATATGCCTGTAGCTAATATCGGAGGACATTTTAACATCTGACATTAATAAATACATAGGCACGCACCCACCTCTGAAGAGCTATGTAAGGTTTTCGGATATATATATATATATATATATATATATATATATATATATATATATATATATATATATATATATATATATATATATATATATATATATATAGTGAAAAATAATACACGGCTGACTTCCAATAAGCAATTACCCCTAACTTGGTTGAAAAAGTTATTTATTATTGAGCAGGAATGACCTTTCCAGTTGCTGCTTGGAAAAGTTAAAATCAATGCTACCACCAAGCTCTAGCGTGACGTTTGGTAAGCTCAAGTGACCTCAAGAGGCGACGCTTGGTGAGCTGAAGTCTGACGAGTGTGTTAGAAGCAGGGTATTTATTTTTAAGTTTTTATAATGAGGGCTAATACTTATCTCTGCAGGCTTCAGTCAGTCGGCGCTCTGGATTAGCGTCAATATCAAATTTCATACATTTTGAGAAAATCTTTGGAGTGCAGGACGGCGGAATTGAAGAGCGTCTTGGGTAACCCCAAATGCGAGCCCCAGATGTTAGAAAATGTATATTCCAGTTATGTGTATTTATATAGATGAAGCATTTCTGACTTTACGCCTTCCCATTACTAGTATACAGTTACCACCTTCCCGTCACTGGTATAACGTGACCATCTTCCCCAACAAGCATACAAAGTAAACCACAACGCAGTAACGTTGTGGTTTACGCTGTGTGTTTGGTGGGACAACGCTGCGGCTGCCAGGCACCGCGAGTAAGCCCTTACTTAACTGTGTGCTCCATAATAATACGAAACTCTTGTTAAACCAACAAATTTATGCTCTCGTGGACTTTCCCACCAACAATTTCATGGCTGCTTGGAGACTGGGGCGGGACTTTGACTCGACAGTGGGTAGAATGTTAGCGTCCTACACGACGGTGGGTGGAATGTTAGCGTCCTACACGACGGTGGGTGGAATGTTAGCGTCTTACACGACGGTGGGTGGAATGTTAGTGTCCTACACGACGGTGGGTGGAATGTTAGTGTTCTACACGACGGTGGGTGGAATGTTAGTGTCCTACACGACGGCGGGTGGAACGTTAGTGTCCTCCACGACGGAGGGTGGAACGTTAGTGTTCTACACGACGGTGGGTGGAACGTTAGTGTTCTACACGACGGTGGGTGGAACGTTAGTGTTCTACACGACGGCGGGTGGAACGTTAGTGTTCTACACGACGGTGGGTGGAACGTTAGTGTTCTACACGACGGTGGGTGGAACGTTAGTGTCCTACACGACGGTGGGTGGAACGTTAGTGTTCTACACGACCGTGGGTGGAACGTTAGTGTTCTACACGACGGTGGGTGGAACGTTAGTGTTCTACACGACGGTGGGTGGAACGTTAGTGTTCTACACGACGGTGGGTGGAATGTTAGTGTTCTACTCGACAGTGGGTGGAATGTTAGTGTTCTACACGACGGTGGGTGGAATGTTAGTGTTCTACACGACGGTGGGTGGAACGTTAGTGTTCTACACGACGGTGGGTGGAATGTTAGTGTTCTACTCGACAGTGGGTGGAACGTTAGTGTTCTACACGACGGTGGGTGGAACGTTAGTGTCCTACACGACGGTGGGTGGAACGTTAGTGTTCTACACGACGGTGGGTGGAACGTTAGTGTTCTACACGACGGTGGGTGGAATGTTAGTGTTCTACTCGACAGTGGGTGGAATGTTAGTGTTCTACACGACGGTGGGTGGAATGTTAGTGTTCTACACGACGGTGGGTGGAATGTTAGTGTTCTACACGACGGTGGGTGGAATGTTAGTGTTCTACTCGACAGTGGGTGGAACGTTAGTGTTCTACACGACGGTGGGTGGAATGTTAGTGTCCTACACGACGGTGGGTGGAATGTTAGTGTCCTACACAACGGTGAGTGGAATGTGTATTGCAGTATTTCATTGTTTCATAGAGCGTTTTCATCTCAATTAATCATTACCATATCATGCACCAGTCTTCACCGGAGGCCACCATATTAGCAGGGAAACACACATCCCCTGTATTCCCCTTTGCTTATAGAGAAAGAGGAAAGAGATGAGGCGGGGCTTAAGACCAAATGCAAAAAAAAATTGATATATCAAAACGCAACTATATAATTTCATCAATATAACACTGATCTGTAAGGTTGTGGCAAATCAAATGTCTTCCCCGAGTTCTTTGTGGCTTAGTGGTCGTCTGGCGTCTCAGTCGCGGCGTCTCTTTCCCCGTCTTTGTGGACGACCAAATCGACATTCTCTCAATCACCATTTCCTCAATTGTAATAATTTCCAGCAAGTACGAAATCTCTTTGAAAATGATATTATCAGTGACAGCTGCAGTCATCAGTTCCTGTTTCATAAGAACTGGCAAAATCTAGTAACACTGTCACACTGTAACACTGTGTCTAGTAACACAGGGGAGCCGGTCGACCGAGCGGACAGCACGCTGGACATGTGATCTTGTGGTCCTGGGTTCGATCCCAGGCGCCGGCGAGAAACAATGGGCAGAGTTTCCTTCACCCTATGCCCCTGTTACCTAGCAGTAAAATAGGTACCTGGGTGTTGGTCAGCTGTCACGGGCTGTTTCCTGGGGGTGGAGGCCTGGTCGAGGACCGGGCCGCGGGGACACTAAAAAGCCCTGAAATTATCTCAAGATAACCTCTAGATAACCGTCCCATTAAATAAATAGACAGACAATTACAGTAACAAATATTAAACTAACAATGCTACTGTACTTTTAAAGTTCAGGATATATAAACAAAATTCTTTTGAATTTTGATATTCAAAATCTCTTCTTCCGTCCTTATAGAAACAGTTGCTAGAACTAGGCTGTTTAACATTTCACTTACAAGCCAAAACGAGATGTTCAGTCTATCAATATTGCATTTATGATGCGGTTCACCCGATATATCACATTGATACTCATCCCCAAACAATGGAGCGTTCCGTCGATCAATCATAATTTAGGGTAATGGGTGTAAATCTGTGTCCGACGGTCTCCAATACGGGGAGGGTCGCGTCCGGATGTCCAGTGTTCGCTTATTGACCCACAAACAACCTAAACACTCAGAAGCCAAGCTATATTACTGAGATAGTTAACGAACTTAGTAGGTTCTTTCTACTACGCTTTCTCCAATTATCTTCTATTTCATGTAGCAATTCCCTGCTTTCTCTCATACTGCCGCACATTTCCTACGCCCCTCGCCATCCCCCCTCACTCCCCACCGCTCACACAGGCGCCCAAGTTCTAATCCCGTTAAGCGTAACCAAAATTTGATTACGGGCGTTGCCAATCGGTTTTGAGACGCCAAGGCTTGACGTCGGAGGAGCCCTGGTTCCCGGGAGGGTGGTTCCAGGTTCCTTGAGTGTGCCTCGGCCTCACTGGGGGTCCCTAGATATGGTAGCTCTTAGGCAGTGTTTGGGCCATACTGGGGGTCCCTGGATAGTGATATTTACCATACTGGGGGTCCCTGGATAGTGATATTTACCATACTGGGGGTCCCTGGATAGTGATATTTTACCATACTGGGGGTCCCTGGATAGTAGCACTTCAGGAGTGTCTGGGCCATACTGAGGGTCCCTGGATAGTAGCACTTCAGGAGTGTCTGGGCCATACTGAGGGTCCCTGGATAGTGATATTTACCATACTGGGGGTCCCTGGATAGTGACATTTACCATACTGGGGGTACCTGGATAGTGACATTTACCATACTGGGGGTCCCTGGATAGTAGCACTTCAGGAGTGTCTGGGCAATACTGAGGGTCCCTGGATAGGGTGGCCTTTAGTATTACTTATTTACGACATGGACAAGTTAGGATCGATTCTTTACTTTAACATTTTTTTAGTATGTCAGGTGAGATAATTCTGGAATACAAAAACGTGAACGGTTTGGGTTCAACGGTCATTTTTGGACGCTTGATCAAATAGTAGCTATGAGTACTGTCATTATTGAAGGATAGGGTGCAATAATACACACAAAAAGCTGCAAGTGTCCATAGTGCTGCTTTTAGGATGTGCTCTTAAGTGTCTTAGTTCTTAACTGTAACTGTGATTGTCTCACAGCTTCTTTGTGGCGTTTCCTGTGAATGACTAATTTCCGTTGACGCGCTCGATTCACAAAAAGATCTTGTACGTTGAGCATGTAGCGGTCTCTCCACAACATACACTAGGTCTACCGGGAAGACCGTCACTTGAGGGCCATATACAGCAGCGGCTAAAACCTGTAGCGATATTATGACGTACTATAGCGACGTCTCACTCATACTTCGTATACATCGTGAATAAATCAATATTTGATCTCTCATTTTCATTAGCTTAAGTTAGGATAAGTGAGACTAGGATTAGATTAAGTTTGTTTATAGAGTAGCAGTGACGTAGAGGGATACATGCTTGTCTCTGGTATTATAACCTACTTGGCCAGTGAGGACATGGCGGCCATGCTCGCCCTTGACCTTGATAGCCCACCATTAACCTCTCAACAAACCCATGAACTGCCGTCAACCTGCATTAAACACCTGGGGTTAACGCCTTATTAATTATGTTAATCTTTTACCGGTCAAAGGGTCTACATATCCTTCGCTTTGTCAGTTATCTCCGATACAATTATCCTAAACCAGAGATTAAGGTGTAGAATTATACAATCCGACCTCTCAGGTAATGCGTAATCTTTTACGTCCATAACGCCACAATGATGGCGCCCTAATATTGACGTTTTCTATGCCTCCCCCTCGATAGGTAAGGTGGACTGCTTGACTTCGTATGGTTCTGGCTAGGCATGATGACCAGACCACACACTAGAATGTGAAGGGACGACGACGTTTTGGTCCGTCCTGGACCATTCTCAAGTCGGACCATTCACAATCGACTTGAGAATGGTCCAGGACGGCCCGAAACGTCGTCGTCCCTTCACCTTCTAGTGTGTGGTCTGGTCATCATACTTTAGCCACGTTATTGTGACTCATCGCCTGGCTAGGCATAACACTTGTATTTTGTATGGTGTCAACTCGAGAGAATTAACTGACTTAAAGCCATAATAGAGGATGGAATAAATCTAAAGGACATAATATTTCCACTTGCTGGCCAACAACTGTCGATTAGAAGATCGTCAACCTGCCCTCTCAACTAATAGGTCGTGATTTTAACGTTATCGTAATCAACGTTGCAAATGTAACGTATTAAGAAAAATAACGGATCACAAATATTTGCGTTTTCTATGCATCGGACTCGAAAGGTTTGGATGGTTGCTCGTGTTTGTACGTTTCTGGTTAGAATGAAAGGTTGGATTTTTTACGGAGTGTCAAATGGAGAGAACGGGCTGGACGACGGTACGCGAGGAGCAGCCTCGTCTGCGTGACCTTATAAGACTAGTTTCGCCTAGTTTTACGGGATATTCATGCCTGTGCCACCTCTTGGGTGGCTTAATCTTCATCAATCAATCAATCTTCACCTAGCTGTGCTTGCGGGGGTTAAGCTCTGCTCTTTCCGCCCGCCTCTCAACTGTCAATCAATTGTCAATTGATTGACAACTGTCAATTGTCAATCAATCAAATCTGGTCTGGTCAACATCAACTACTTATTTTTTTCTCACACACACACACATCCCCAGGAAGCAGCTCGTAGCAGCTGTCTAACTCCCAGGTACCTATTTACTGCTAGGTAACAGGGGCATCAGGGTGAAAGAAACTTTGCCCATTTGTTTCCGCCATGGCCCGGGATCGATCCCGGGTCCCTAGATCTACGCATCCGGAGCGCTGTTCACTCAGCCACTAGGCGCCCTTGTGTGTTACGTCGTTGTCGCTGACAGTCAAGACTGGAGATGTTTTTGAAGATCAACATCTGAAAACAGAGAGGCAGCGGCATTGATCGTATCATAGACTCGCCCCACACACACACACACACACACACACACACACACACACACACACACACACACACACACACACACACACACACACAAGTTGCCGCAATCGAGGCACACAAAAGGGGTCTCGCGGCCGAGTGGACAGCGCTCGGGGGTCGTAGTCCTAGGGGGCCCAGGTTTGATTTCCGGCCGAAGCAGAAACAAATGGAAAGTTTCTTTCACCCGATGCATCTATTCACCTAACAGTAAAAAATACCTAGGAGTTAGACAGTTGCTAGGGACTGCTTCCTGGGGATGTGTGCGTGTGTTAAAGAGAAATATATGTGGTAGCCATAATAGAGGAAAAACAAATAGGTTAGAAAGGCGGGGTCCAAGAGCTAATAATTCGATTCTGCAGGCACAAATAGTAAATGCAAATAGTAAATACACACACACACACACACACACACACACACACACACTCACACAGGAATGCATTAGGCAGTGATGTGGTGGAGGCTGACTCCATACACAGTTTCAAGAGTAGATATGATTGAGCCCAATAGGCTCAGGAACCTGTACACCTGTTGATTAACAGTTGAGAGGCGGGACCAAAGAGCCAAAGCTCAGCCCCCGCAAGCACAAATAGGTGAGTACACACGCACACACACATGTTCAGCTCTGGATTCTAAGTTTAATGGCAAGCAGTATAATAGGGAGCAGCTGTGCGCGCCTCAGCAGACAGAGACATACAGACAAAAAGGTATACAAACTGACATACAGACAGACAAACATAATCGTGATCGCTGACGTACACAGCAGCGTCCCAAACCGCTGTAAATACCGCCAGAAAATATTTCGACTGTGAAACCGAAGATAAAGCAATCATGTAGCAGATCAAATTAATTTTGAAAAAATAAGTTCACGTGCTCCCTGTTAATGTGAAAGAAAATGAGATAACAACTTGATAGCTGTCTTTGTTCCAGCAATATTCCTTACATTTACTGGTTGACAAATGTATAAAATATAACAGTAAATATCGAAGCCAAAAGTAAATATGACCTTCCAGTAGCCTGTGGTGACGGGGGTCAGTGGTTGACTCTTGTCCTCAAGG